TTACGTTTGTACATGTAGGCCTACTTGTTTACAACCTCCATTTTGATTTTCAGGTAAGACCCGCAAGTACTTCAAGTCTGGCGACGTTATAATCGTTGTCACAGGCTGGCGCCCAGGATCTGGCTACACCAACACCATGCGCATTGTTGTGGTGCCTTAAACACAACCTCATGAACTGTGAACCCAAATGTTTTCACATGCAAACAGCTGTTCATCCTCCAAACAAGATATTCAAGTCCCAAAAATAGACTTGTGGTGTTGTTCACATACTTTAAATTCCCATCAAACTCATGTTATGTCAAGGAAATCCTTTTAATCCCTTTTCATCCCACTGCAAAAATTTTTTCATCAGAACTGTACTGTATGTTTTTACAGTGACCTTTTGAGTATCCTGAATTTATTAATGTATTGTGGAATTCCATTATTTTCCCTGTATGTTTTTTTCCTCTCTTTGAAACATCTTATCGTTTTGTATTTGTGCTTTATTACACAAGGCGTACTGGAAAATGCAAATATTCCAATAAAGCCACCTGGTGGACTAGATTGAAAATACAGAATCTCGACAATTAGGTCAGTCCAATGTCATTTCTCTGTGTTGTTGATGAGTTCATACTTCTAAATAGCACCTCATGCAAAGTCATATCAAATATTTTTGAGAAATTATATTGAATTGTTGGCTACATACTTGTGTGCTTGGATTAGAAAGTTCTAGATTTATTTAGCTATCAGTGTGTACTCGATTAGCTAATATTAAATTACCTGAGATAAAAAGAAAGGTTTTTTCATTGGCTGTAGACAGTGGCCACTAGGGGTCAGTGTGTAATTGGAAACCCAAGGCGCATTATTAAAAACAAAACATGTTAAACGTTCATAATTTAATAATCATTTAATTTATCTGGCCAATGCTAGCGACAACTGAATATTCCACCGGGAGGAGGGTGCTGGAAAAAAAAGCACGGTCTAAATAAAAGCGTGTCTTCTGAGCAGGAGCCATTCGGTTGCAGAGTGAGTCAGCAGTCCTGATACGCAATTAAAATTTACACTGTAACTTTTCAAACTTTCTCAAGGGTCGACAAAAAGGGGAAACTTCAGGGCATCCGGTTTCATTGCAGACTAGGGATCCATTTGGCATTAATATAAGGGGATCACGCTGTAATTAGCAGGGCTTGCAGTCTGGGTGTACCTTGGCTGCATTGTCAGAGTGACAGGGATCAGCTGGTCAATTTGTATGCAAATAGGGTGAGGCTTAGCCAGACTTTGATTTGCCAGCAGCGCTCGCTGACATCAAGCCGCTATGAGTGGAATTTCTACGAAGCATCAGCGCTAGAACGGGATAAAATATAATAGCTGCCTGCCATAAACACCATTTCAGCCTTGGGTATGTTCTTTAGAAGCCATGGGAAGGATAATAACGTTACTTCTCTGGCGAGCATCAGATCTGAGCCTAACGTACAGATTAGATGCTCTGTTTCGCGATGATACTGATAGGGGTTAAACAGTCCAGTATAGTGGGGGATGGAGAGCAAGCAGTGGGAGATTGATCCACTACTGTCTCGGGGAAGTGGACGATGCTATCTCAGTTCCCCACTGGAGCTACATCGAGGAGCGCTGGAAAGACTCAATAAGTAGGAGAAAACAGCAGTGTGGATTTTCAAGGACACGACCTTGTGATTCTCTTGTTCTGTGGCAGACTTACAGAAGCCGTATATGCTTGATTCGAGATGATGTACGAACAGTATTGTAATAGTAGTATTAATAGTATGTATTAACTTGTTAACAGCCGTCGAACTGATCCGAATCACATGTCCAACTGAACCAACTGAACCATCCAACGTTACTTACGCCGGAAGTGATCTCTCGTGCGTCTACGTCACGCATTGTTTACACGGAGATTTCGGAAGTTTTACCTTTCACTAAACATATTTAGACTTATCGAAATCGTCTTCCATTGCAATTTCCCGTATATCTAAATATGTTTAGTGAAAGGTAAAACTTCCGAAATCTACGTGTAAACAGTGCGTGACGTAAGTTAGACGCGCGAGAGGCGGTTCAGTTGGACATCTGATTCAGATCAGTTCGACGGCTGTTAACAAGAGGTAAAAACTATATAAATACTATTCGTTTTATCACACAAACTGCTCGTTTCATGTCTTAAGCCATCAGTGTGTACTTACATTCACGAATCATTAAATCATGTTTAATTTTGACTTCTCTGTGTATGCTCTTTGAGGTGGACCCCCTAACCTGCATTATTATATGACTGACAGACAACACCGGTTTGACTGAAAAATGTCAAAATTGAAAATACTGTGGAAACAATACAAAGACACCTACATCTTGGATGCCCTTGAGGTAAGCTAAAACATATCAAAAATTAATTTCAAAGTGAATTATCCCTTTAAATGTATCAATATAGGATTTATTAATGGCTGCTAAGAGAGTAGGCCCAGAACCTGAATTTCTTACATCACGATTTTACAAGTTAATAGGTAAATAATTTTACATAACTATAGTAAATTAAAATATACCCATTTGCAACATCAAGTAACTTGACCGATTGTTTTTGTACCGCTAAAATAACTGGAAGCCACTCTAACAAAAAAGGGGGTGGGGGGTGGGGTAGGTATTGTTTGCTGCATTTAATATCATTGGAAATTAAATGAATGTGGTATCATTAACAGCTCTGATACAAATATAATAAAATATGTAAGATGGTACATGGTCAGGAAGAAAGAAAGATAAACAAAGGTCATTATAACAAAGACAAAGGAAAACAGTATAATAATTATTATTATAAAATTTTTTTTACAATTATTTATCAATTAACAGTTCAAATGAAGTACCATAGCTATACTCATGAATATTTGTACATACATGATTATTCAGTATTCATGATGAACATTATATTCTGCAATATTTTGATTCTGAAGCATGTTAGTCATATTACATCGTTACTATAATTATCATTTTAAACAAGATAAAGTGAAACACTGACCAAATATGGCAAGTTGACTATCTTCTAACTCCAAAAAAAAAGAAAGAGGGAAACAAAGGCTGTAATTGTTCAAAATGTGAAAATATTACGCTATGTTTGTAAATTTGAAAGGGGACAGTTTGAAGCTGTTTTTATTAATATTGAAAGTGCACTGTATACTGATGCATAATGACACAACGTGTTCATCGTGGATATGCCATATGGCTTGACCATTTTGCCATACAGTGACTATAAAATCTGTCTTGAAATATTACCATTTTTAACCCAAAATGTGCATCCTTTATGAACTCACTGGCCATCCATACATGACACTCTTGAGGCTGTCTGTAATGACGTTGGTGGGGTTTAAATGCTACTGTATAACCTCACTTTGGTAATGACAAACAATTAATGCACAGAATATTGTAAAATGCTACAACATAAATGCACAGTAAAACACGCATACACTCACACTCCTGAAAAAGAGAAATATTACAGTGTAATGCATTGTGTGCTCTGTAATACTAACAAAAATCTCTTTGATGCTTTGATCACATAGCACTCTCATTTGCATTTTGCCTTGCAATTTTATCCGACTTCGATGGAGGGAAAAATGTTAACTTGAAAAAAATCAGGCTCAGAAAATTTAAATAATAATATGATAATCCAATGCATATTGCAAGAATGGAACAGAATTGAGTGGAAGGACCGAGTGTTGCATAATGACAGTATCTGTAGACTGATGGTGACAGTATATAGATTATGAATATACAGATTAACAAAACAAACACATACACAATACATAGATATATACATAGACATGTATTATAAAATCATATAAATTATACAATACATAATAACCTGGGACAAAGCAGGGAATTTTCATGATCAAGCTGTGTAAGCTTTGCTCAAAAGGAAGGACACTTAGAAAAATACTATTCCTCCTTTTACCACCTGCCGAATATGCCATGTCTTAGCAGGTGCTAAGGTAACTATTGTGTTAGCAGTTATTTCATGTTAGTGATGTACCTATGCTGCAATGCATCTCAAATTGTCAAAAATGTTTAATTTCACAGATATGAAATACATACTAACCAAAACATGTATTGCACAACCAGAAAACATATTGCAACCTCATGCAAATTGTGGGGTAGCCTATAAACTAACTGCATTATACAAAATGTGCATTTTAACAGATGCCAAATGGACGTTAAAAGATACAAACCAAATTCTAACATGACTTGTGTAACTCATGAGCTTTGGTAACTGCAGTGGGCTCTTTTTTTCATATTTGTTGTGTCACTGCCATTAACAACCCTCCAGTATGTTTTGTTTGACAGGAAGAGAGCTGCAATTTACAGATCAACCTCTGTGCACGTACAAAAACCAAGCATACCGTTTTATTGCTTAAGTACTGCACAAATTCACATACAAAGCGCATACAAAATGATTGCAAAACATTCTTAATGTTCTCGGTTCTGTTGTGGAAGTGAGGGTGTAATTCCCTGGTGTCCAGACACTAAGGCAGTATTGTTACAAAAAGGAAAGGCCATAGATACTGAGCAGTACCTCTTTGTCAGCAAGGAGATATGGGGTCAAGGTCAAGCGGAAAGTTCATACTAGGTCTAGATACTAGGGATGTTGAGGGCTAGGTTTGATTGTGCATGTGTGAATGTTTGTGTGCATCTCTGTTTGTATATATACCTGTGCTAGTGCCACCTGCCCGGGGAGACCTGTACGACGTGTTCTTTCACAGTGACTGATGAAGTGCGACGGACAAATGTAGATTTGCTTCCCTGACCCAGCATAATTCCCTCTTTAAAAAGACCACACTATTATAACATTACAATAGCAATCGCACACTCACACGTACACACAATCACAAACATACATACATCCTTTAGAATTATTACTTTGAAATAACTTTTTTTTGGAAGTCATAATTTGCATATCCCTATACAGTCTTATCATCAGACAATAATATTGCAAAAATTACTGACAGAACATGGAAGAAAATTTAAGTCCCACCTTAATTTTTCTATCAGTTTTTAATCCATTTCTTCGTTTGGCATAACAAATAGGGAAGTCATTGGACCAATAAAAAATCCAAATAGATGAACATACACCCTCCTTCTCTGGTGAGAAATGTCAAAAAAAGTTGCTCAATCATTGCAGGAGGGTGCAGACCATTCTCACAAGTTCGATGGTAGTTTTGGGTGCAAGCTTGGTGTCCCAGGGGTGGACCTATCACTAGACCCATGGGCTGGTGACCCACCTGAGGACCCAGTCTGAGTTATGGACAACTTGGAAGTTTGTCTCGATAGGACAACATGACCAGGTATTGAGCTAAATGGTTTCATAATCGGAGGGGGCGATGGGAGAGGTGAGTAACCTGAAGCCGATCCTCTGTGATGGGATAAGTCTGGCGGTTCTGGTCCTCTTCCAACTAACTTGGACTTTTCAGGTAGTCCTGGGATGGGGAGGGACTTGGAAATGGTGGTTAAGTCTTGTGAGGGTAGGTCAACTAGAGATCCACCCCTTTGTCTTGTTTGAGGTGGTGGTGGAAAGAGTGTCTGAGGGCTTAGGAGTGAGCTTTGGGATCCAGAGATGCTAGCAGGGTTGCTGTGCATGGACATCCTCATCTTCTCCACTGTAGGACTCTGGCACGTGGGACTCCAAGCTGAAGGTGTGCTACATGGGGACACATTTCCAGACCCATATTGTGCAAGGGAAGCAAGAGCAGAGGGTTCTTGGGAAAGCTGGGAAAGAGCATCTGGCTGTAGACTAATCTGAGTGTGCTGGGATGGGACTTGTTGGGATGGGATGGGACTTGTAGGACCCGAGACTTGTTCAAGAATGCTCCTGGAGTCGATAGGGGATTCTGTTACAGGAGACTGGGAGGCTGTCCTTTTAACTTTATTCAAGTCTTGACTTGGTTTTGTTGGTTGAGGATTTGGCTGAGCTGAATGAAGTTGGGTCAGGATGGGACTTACAGAGTGCGCTATCAAAGGAGTAAGGGTGGATGTAGGGGGAACTGAAAGCTGGACAGCCTCTCCTCCAACTGCTCCTTGTTGGAAGATACCACGAAGTGATGCAGCAATGCTGGGGAAAGAGGCCTGAGGAAGTTGTGGTTGAGAATGAAGCTGGGCAACACTGAAGTCTTTGGACCTGTGGGAGACAAGGGGTCTATGAGGGTAGAAGAGAGACTCTGTGATGCTGGAGGTGGTGGTGGTGACAGTTGTTGTGATGGTGGATGGCGGTGGTGGAGGTGTGGAGCTAGATGATCTCTCAGCCCTGAGTGTGTCCAGAATTGGGGTCTCTATACAAGAGCTGAACTGGGTGGTTGATGAGGATCCACCAAATGCAGCAGCGCCCGAAAGTGCAGTTGGGAACCTCTTTACATATCCTGGCTGGTCTTTCAGCGAGCCAAGCAGCGGGACAGGGGGTCGGAAGAGGGAATGGGGCAAATGGGGGTGGCGAGTCAGGGCAATGGCTACGGAACTGGTGGCTGCGGCAGCTTGTAGTGGAGCCTGAATAAGAGGTGCCCAGATGACGGGGGTGTGGGAAGATGGAGTCGGTGCTGGGTGAGGAGCTGGGGGAGGTGTCTGCATGAGGTGGGCACAATGGGCCATATCCCTGTCGTGCTGCACAATCTGCTGGATGATCTCATTTTCTTGGTAGTTCAGAACTCCAGAATTAAGATCCCGCTGGACCTTGTGCTGAAGGACAGAGTTTTTCTTTCCTGTGAGGACAAAAAGGAAGCATGGATAACAAAATCAATGTAGTTTGACTTAAGCTTTAAAAGGAAGAAAAATGTAAGGCTGGGAAAATTAACATGTTTATTTAATGTGATTAATATGGAATGGTTCCTCTGATTGCTTGAACCTGTACTTGGACAGGCAATTCCAGAACTAATCCATGTAAATGAGTCCACATTAATCAACATGAAATCAAAATGGATCAAAGTTACTTGTCTTAGACAAAAGGCAAAGAAAGATGCATACAGTATAGTTCATGCCTACAGGATCACGAAACTTCTAGGCAGTTGTGTTAGACCTAAACTCTGCAGGAAAGTGGACACCCCTGACTTAAGCCATATGGGTTGTTCGATAAATGTTAACCAATAGCCAAACAGCTATTTAAACATTGGTTTAGCAAAAACATTTTTTCTTATTGAATATCCTGTTTCAGATTATAATACAAGACATAATGCAAGTAAAAAGGGTTGCAAACTGCAAAAATGATAAAAGCAAGGGACAAGATATGACCGCTTATTAAACCATCCACTCTTCAAGGACATCTCAGAGCAGCTGTGAAGAACATAAGCTTGTTGAACTGGCAGCTCTCACCTATGCGGTCAAGGCGATCGAGAGCTACTGTCTCAAAGGCGCGTCGCATCATAGGGTACTCCTCCAACACCTCGTTGAAATGGTCCACAGAGAGCGAGTACAGACGACAGTATGTGTCCGCTCTGACGCTGGCTGTTCTTCTGCCTCGAGTCAGCAAACAGATCTCTGTGGACATTTTGCAACATGAGGTAAATTAAAACCACACAGGGAGAACATGTATCCTAAGAGCAACGAAAGAACATGCACAATTTTTTCAAATATATACGTTTATTTACGTAAATAATAGAATGAATGAAGAGTAAATAAATGAAGGCATGATTGGGTATACCCTAGTATCCAGCCACCAACTGACCATCTTCAGCCTATGTTTAGAGCACTCCAGCACTATTAATATGTGCATAAATTCACAATAGCGGGAACCATGAATTAAATATACTTCCTGTGACTCAGACTTTATATACTTGGAGCCTGTTTTTTTGAATGGTCTTTTTTAATCGGCACCCAGAACATTAAACTACAACTTTGACAGCTTAAAGTTGTACTCAGCCATCATCTGTCCAGTCAGATCACAGAGTAAAAGCTGTATTTGAAAAGCAGAGGAAATTTCTAAGTGACAGACAAGCAGGAGTTTGAGGAGAAGACACAGGGGACTGTCAACAGTAAAGTGGTAATCGAGTGTTCCCAGTCAGTATCTCACCTTAAAACCTAAGGGTGTCGAGCAGGACGAGGCCGAATGACGTGAGAGCGGCGTGAGGCCGGATGTGTGAGTGGTAATGAGCGACACATGTGAGATGCCCCGGTCATTACGCCACCGGCCTTGCACCGCTCTCAAGTCACTCAGCCTCGTCCTGTTCGCAATACCAAGAAATACAGTTTTACGACAAGATTATAGCATTTTATAAACCTGAAAAAGTGAATGTGTGTGGTTTGCTGTACACTCATGTAGAGTTAAAAATGCTAAGCACTGTTAGCCATTTGGTTTCTGAATGGCCAAGCATGTGCTCAGGTTAATTTTGGCTGTTGGACTGTCACAGAAACAAAGTTTTATTGCTCAAGACACTAATTTCAATTATCTGGTAGTAGTAGTAGTAGTGATTGGTATTCCAAATATAACAGCTTATACCACTTTCAAGATTATTAAGAAGATATGTTTGAATGCTTGCATTTGTGCAGCTGATATTTCTGAAGGGTGCTGAAGAATAAGAATATTATGGGGATAAATGAGGTGCTGTTGGTCATTCAAGAGCCTGAAATATGAGGTGGTGTTGTTTGGGTAAGACAGAGGGGTCTGGCTGTAGAGATTAATTTCACTCTCTTTTTCACTCTCTTTTTCTATGTCTAGTCATCATGGCCAGAGTCATAAAGAACACACTGCCAAGAGCCACTCCATTAGAACCATTAGAACATGAATGCACATTCACTAACACCTTGTATTCTCCAACTAACCCGATAGACAAGAGACAGAACAGAATGACATATGGGGACTGGGTGAGCTCGGTACTAGGCCCAAATCCAAACTCCTCTTCCTTTTTGCACTTTCACACAGGGTTTATGGGAAAAGAGATTATGAGCGGCTTGTTGAACATGTAATGACCTCAAACGAGCCGGGCAGAAGGGAAGGATTTTTTTTTTGGAAAATATGATGACATTTTTTTTTCTTGCCTAAATCTGCAGCTCACTGATAGCACAAACTACTTAGTTGTGATCCAGAATCACACAGGAGACAGTAATAGAGTTTATAATGGCACAGAACACCAGGAAAGAGGCTAGCTTGCATACGGAGACCAGGTGGTGTGTAATTTATTTCTAAATATTAGCATCACCCTCATTTTTCCTCAGAAAATTGACAATGTTGATTTGTTTGTTAGACTCATAGCCATTTGCATTCAAGGTAAACTTTAAAGTGAATAAATAGTTTTTTGTCATTTTTTGCAATTGTGAAAAGGCATTTAATATTGTACATTGGACAACATAAACAAATGCAAAAATTAAAAAAAAATCAGGAAGTAAAAGAAAACAGGGTAATAGTAATTGTAATGAGAAAAACTGCAGCGAACCGTCTCTGATGACAAAGCTCAACTCATACGGTTATCTTCCCCTCCTTCCTCAATCTTGTGAGGAAAATTAATTTCATGAATGGTTAACTTATGCTGGTGAGGAATTTCCCCAGGCTCCAAAGCATGGCCATTCACTGATTTGGTTCCCTTGGAGTACCAGCCGATAACACTGAAGAACACAGTGGTACCAGCCTGAACATTAAGCACACAAAACCTCTCTAATAAAAAGACAAACTTATTTGCTGCAACTTAAATGCCACTCCATCAACATTAGTTTCAACAAGAGAATCCATACCAAGAGAATCCATACCAAACGACATTTCAAAGCTATCGTTAATATTGCCTCAAACCATCCAATCAGATCATAAACATCTTGCTGATATCATTGTTCACTTACCTCCAAAGTAAGACCCGTCCGAGATCTTTGTCTCTTTGCTGCCCTTGGTCAGGACAGTTAGTACACCATGTTGGATGAAATACATCTTCTTTCCGACTGTACCCTCTTTAATAATGTAATCTCCTGGCTGGAACACCTCGAAACGTAGCTTTGTTAGCATGGAGGTCACAAAGTTTGGATCTGCGTTGGCAAACAATGGCATGGTGGCCACAAGCTTTCGACAGTTAAAACTGATGATTTCCTGTACACACCAAAAACAGAATATAGCAAAATCAGTGGATAGGACTGTTCAATACTAGAAAACA